GAGTTAAATCAGGCAATAAAAATGTTTAGACTTATAAGATCACTTAATGCTTACCAGAAGGGAAGAAGCAGAAAGAAAATCAAATAAGGAGACACATATTGAATTTTAATGATGCACATGTGAAACTTATATAAATGTGATAACTAATGTTATTTCAATAAAAAATTAAGTACATTTTAAAAAACTAATATTGGGGCCTGAGAGATAGTATAGGGGTTAAGACACTTGTCTTGTACATGGACAACCCTGGTTTGTTCTGTGGCACCACATACAGCCTCCCCAAGCACTATCAGGAATAATTCATGAACATAGAGCCAGGAGTAAACGCTGAGCACAACAGGGTGAGTCCTGGAAACCAAAAAAATCAATAAGAATAAATATTGGAAAAAATGTTATTACTCACCTAATAGTAATTTTAAACACATTTACATGTAATTCTGGATGTATTTTTTAGGAAAATACACACCTTGCATTTATTTATGTCTTAAACTCCAACTTTGAGTGGGTGACATAAGAAAGTAATCTCAGAGAGCCAACAGTTACCTTAGTGTGTACAGAATTCACAGTTCTCATGAGGGACCTCAGTACCCAGAACTCTGCACCTACACGTCTTCACTGTCTGCAGGTTCTTCTCTAAAGCTATTGCTGAGAGCCTCATCAGATCTGCTAGTGCAATGGGCCTGAAGTTTCTATAATTAACCCCTCAGGAGCAGTCCTCAATCAATGATGACTGGTGGGAGTGTAAAAGTTGTTTTCTGCTCCAGCGAAATAGAATGAGAAAGACAGACAGACAGAGAAAAAGGGATGGGATGGCAGAGAATTTGGATACACCAAAAAGCTAGAGATGTGACTATGGACTATGGACTGAATTGTGTACTTTCCCCAAATTCCTATGCTGGACGTTTCACCCTTTATGCATTTGGAGATTCCTTTGCAAAGTAACTAGATTTAAATAATGCCATAGGGTGGGGGCATCATCATGGGATTGTGGCCCAGATGAGAAGAAATAAGTCATCTGTAAGCACAGAAGTGAACACTTGCAAGAACTAAATCATCTGGACTTTTTAGCCTCCAGAACTCTGAGGGATATTTTTTGTTTTTATTGTTTTGTTTTTCAGTTTGGGGGCCACACCAGCAGTACTCAGTGCTTTACTCCTGGCTCTAGACTCAGGGATCACTCCTGATGGTGCTCAGGGTAGAATATGGGATGCCAAGGATGGAACTAGAGTTGGCCGTGTGCAAAGCAAGCACTCTATCAACTGGACTATCTCTCTAGCCTCCTTCTTCGAGAATTCTAAATAGATTCCTGCCGTTAAAAGCAAGTTGCTAAGCTTACGGTGTTTTGTTATGGCAGCCAGAGTTTAGTAATAGTGATACAAATGCTGCTCATTCCTGGGAGGGTATTCTAACCCATTTCTAAGATTTCACTCCAAGATTAAGTGTCAATGGGCATCAGTGGTAAGTGGCTTGATGATGTATCTTATATTGGTTGTGTACTTTGCTTCCTCATTCCATTTCCACACTGAAATTTCCTACATTTCTCAAATAAATTATTTTCACTAGGAATCTGTTTCAAAACTTGTTTCTGTGGTCATCCAAATGGAAACAATTCTGTTATCACTGGAATCTCTAAAACACTGCCGTGGGTTATATACACAAAGAACACTACAAATTCAGCTTTTTTTACTCACTATTGTTAAGCCAGTTTATCCATGAGATCTGGAAATGAGAAATGAGAGCTTAATTCACAAAGGGATCTGTGAGAAGAAATTTGGTTTGTGTAACTTTTTTAAAAATACTTACGCTTTGATGTCTATGTAACTCAGTGCTAAATTGAGATAGAAATTTTCTGTTGAGCTATTTCTTGATGTCTTTATTTACAAATTAATGGTAAATTTTATTCTCATTTGTAACAAACTCCTAGTTTCAAAACATTTTTACAAAAGTAATGTGAGCTGGGGGCTGGAGCGGGTAGGGCATTTGCCTTGCATGCGGCCGACCTGAGTTCGATTCCCAGCATCCCATACGGTCCCCTGAGCGCCGCCAGGAGTAATTCCTGAGTGCAGAGCCAGGAGTAATCCCTGTGCATCACTGGGTGTGACCCAAAAAGCAAAAAAAAAAAAAAAAAGTAATATGAGCTGTACTGTCTTTACTGTAAAATAAATAAAACATAGCTATATTGATTTTTACCATTTTCTCAATTTTTTCATTATAGTATCTTCAAACATTCAGCCTGTGTCTGGAATATATATATATATGTATGTGTATATATATGTGTGTGTGTATACATACATATATGTATATATACATATACACACACATATATAGGTATATGTTTTTAACATTCCAATATAACGTGTTCCTTATATCTTTCTCTAGAGACATCCCATATCTATGAAAGATAAATCTGTACCAAGAAATGTGCCTGAGTGAATGAGACATGAGATAGCACTATCTGACCTAGATTATTCCTACCCAACTTGACAAGAAATACAGTGTATTCTCAATATTATGCAGCTTTAAAAAAGAACAAAATCATGCAATTTGCCACCGCATGGATAGAATGAGAGGATATGCTGAGTGAAGGAAAATGAGAGAATTATTTCTGTCATATGTGGGACTTAAAGATACACAGTGAACAATGAAGCACCAAGGTCTGTAAAACTGAGTTTGGGGGTAGGGAGTTCGAAGAGAAGGCCGTTGAGAGAGCAAGATGGATACATTGGTGATGGGTGTGGTACTTGAATTATGCACAAAGAAAGCACCATTAACAATATTGTAAATCACAGTACCTCAGTTTTTTATTTAAAATTTTAAAAAATAAGAAATATAATGTCTTATTTGGAAACCAACATTGAAATTGGTTTAATGAGTTTCTCCTCATTGCAAGTGTTTAGACAAAATCATTATTTGAAAATTCTCCCATATTTATTTTAGCCATTTCCATAGATTTCCTCAAATTCTACTGTAAGAATAATGAGGAAAGCCAGTGGAAGAGAATAATGAGAATTATGAGGAAAGCCAGTGAAGCAGAATAGGAGAAAGAGGACAAAAGTGTAAATTTCCTGCAAGATCTTATCAAAATCCAATGGTTTGAAAATAACTTAAGTGTAAGAATGGAAAATAATAAGGAAAAGTTACCATTATCTACTGGAGTGAAGGGACTATCATATGGATTCTATGTCAAATCTCTGTAATTTTTTATAGATTCAATGCAATACTTATAGAAATTTCTGTAATATTCTTCACATACACAGAACAAAAAATCATTAGATTTATTTGGAGCTACAAAAGACCTCAGAGAGCAGCAAAACTAATAACAACAAAAATTCTTGGGAAAAAGAGGAAAAAAATAGACATCATGCTTCTTAATTTTAAACTATACTGGAAAACAATATTTAAGACAACACGATAATGAAATCAAAACAGATACACACAGACCAATGGCACAGAATTAAAAATCCAAAAATAAAACTGTACATATACAATCAGTCCATGAAAAAAAGCCAAATGCCTAGAAAGGGGCAGAGTGTCTCATCAATAATAATAACAGTCACATGCAAAGGAATGAATAAAAGTACTATATCACGCTATTATCCAAAACTAATGGATTAATGACTGGCACATATGACCTGAAGCCATAAAAATACACAGATAATATAAACTCCCTGGATATCAATATCCTTATTACTTGAAAATTTATAGCATGAATTGAAAATGTTTGGTCTATTTTATTAAATTTGTTTTGTTTGGGGACCACACCTGATGATGCTTAGGGATTGCTTCCGGCTCTGCACTCAAGAATTACTCCTGACGGTGCTCAGGGGACCATGCAGGATGATGAGAAGTGAACCCAGATCAGCTGTGTGCAAGGTAAGTTGCCCTATTCACTGTACTATCAATCCGGCCCCCATTAATAATTTTAAAAGTAAAATTATTTTAAGAAGACAATAGAGTATAATTAGGGGAAAAAATACAAATATTTGCTGAATATTTCCTGTGTGCTACATATTTACTAATTCGTGGGCAGCCAGTATTTAATGACCATACATATTTCATAATGCTCTAAGAGCTAACATTTACTATACACATAAAAAAGAAATTTTCAAATTTAATTAGTGTTATAAGTGTGGCTACTGAGATTCTCACTTGGATGCTACGAGAGTTCAGGTAAGGGTCTTCTTGTGAGCCCCAGGATTCAGCTATCTGGGAAACAGTTCACTACCAAGACTTAATGACAAACCTCACCCCCTGCTCTAAATCCTCCAAAACCCTGAGCAACTAGTACATTTTTTTCCCATTCATGATAAGTAGAGTTTATAATTGGAATTTACATAATGGGGTTGAAATAGAAAATTTGATGAAGAAAACAGTATTAGATAACATAACCTCAATGCCCCACTAGGATATTCTTGCCTAGAAGTGTGAAATTTGATTCATCTATCCTAGCAACCAAATCTTAAAAAAAAAAAACATATTTAGCTACACAAGTATTTAGGCAATATTAGAAGAGGGAAGAGGTAGAGGGTATTCTGTTCTCTTGGATTCTGCTATACTTTTTTACCAAAGTTCACAGAAAATGACTTAACTACTTTTCTTCCCCCTCCAGTTTAGATATGGCCTCATGTTTTCACTCTCTGAAATCTCTAAAAAAATTGAAAAGCCAAGATCAGTAGTTTTCCCAAACTTGTCACTTGGTCTTATAGCACCAGTTTTGCATGGTAAATCCCATCATGACTAGCACCAGATATGACGTTGAGCACCAGAGATAAAGAAATGAGGAGAAACTCTAACTCCAGGTCTAGGCAGGAGTGCTGGAAATAGTTCAGTGATTAGAGAGGGCACTTGCAGGAAAGAATGAGGCCACCAGTTCTATTCTGACACGACTGCATGACCAAGCATTGTCCTGCCAGCTCTGCTACCTAAGATCCCCACTGGGTCCTCTTTTCCAGCCACATTGTGAGGGGTGAGGGGTCCTAAAGCATTTGTCTTGCACTTGGTCAACCGTGGTTTTAATCTCTGTCATCAATATGGTCCCTGAGAACTTCCAGGAGTGATCTTCAAAGTGCAGAGCCAAGCATAGGCCCTGATCCTTTCTGCATTTGGCCCCAATCCTACGCAAAAGTGCATCAGAGGTAAGAACTTCCAGCTATTAACATAATATACTCATTTAATTCCACAAAAATTAACAAGGGAATGTGAGCACAGTTAGAATTTTTTTTGGCTACACCCAGTGATTCTCTGGGGATACTCCTTGCTTTGTATTCAGGAATCCCTCTTAGCGTTGCTCCAGGGACTATATGGGATGCCAGAGATAAAACTCCAATCAGCTGCACACAGACAAAAGCCCTACCTACAGTACAATCACTCCATCCCTGCACGGTTAGAATTTTATCTTTCTAAAGAACTGAAAAGAAACCATTTTTATATGTGTATGATTGATTCAAGTTAAGGAAAGAATTCAAGTTAAGGAAAGAATTCAGGTACATGTCTGAAAGGACACAGCTGCACTCTGCATTTTTTAAGGCAAAGTCTATGTACATATATATAGTGTTCTATGTACTTTTTCTTTTCTTTTTTTTAAATTTATTTATTAAATCACCGTGAGAACAGTTACAAAGCTTTCAAGTTTAAGTCTCAGTCATAAAACGGTCAAACACCCATCTCTTCACCAGTGCATATTTTCCACCACCAAGAACCCCAATATACCCCCATCCCACCCCTCCCCATGCCTGTGAGGCAGATGATTTCCACTTAACTCTCTTTACTTTGATTACATTCATTATTTCGGCAAAATATGCACCATTATTATTTGGAATTTTATCCCAAAAATCAGACTTCCTGAAAAGGCATAGTGAAATAATTTGTTTTCTATTGCTGGCTATGAAGACAATATGATGGGTTTCTGATATTTTACTAATTAAGTCTGGAGGGATTTCTGCCAAAAGTCGCATAGATCCGAGATTGGTTTGTGTGTCTCTGGGTCCATGGCTGTGCCGGAGATCCGCTCGTGGGGGGCAACTCATGGCCCCAGTGGGGCAGGAAGGATGTTCTGGTTCTGCCCCCCCCCCCATCCTATGAGGCCACAGTTGCCCCATCAGCACAGGCTCATACCTGGCTGTTAAATAAGCTCTGAGGTGGCAGCCACCTTGCTGCCAGGGGGGAAAAAGGCGAAAGAGACAGACACCCTTTCCCTCCCGGCGGGGGAGGGGGGTGGAGGGGGGGGACACGGCACCATAGCTTAATGCATAGTCCATTCACATTTCTGCCAAAAGCTGCTGGGTTCCAAATTAGGTCCATGTGACTCTGGGGCCATGGCCATGTCGGAGAGCCCCTTGTGGGGGGCAACTCGTGGCCTCGGTGGTAAGGGAAACTACGTACTTTTTCAAGTTAGTTATAAAACCTTGTCATTGTCAAGCCCCAGGAATTGATAATGATGACAGAAACTTGGCACTCAAAATAAGATATGTAAAAATAAAACATATCTGGGCTTAAAGATAGTACAGTGGGTAGGGCACTTGCCTTCCACGTGGTCAGCCCAGGATCTACCCCTGGCATCTCATATGACCCCCTCAAGCCCCATGAGGGATCACTGAATGAAAAACAGGAGTAAGCGCAGAGCATTGCCAGGTGTGGCCGCAAAACAAAAATAAATAAAAAGACAAAACTAAACACATTAAAGAAATATTAGCATGCTTTCTACACTTCCTAACCAATAATTTTAAGAAATATTTTTGGTTTTTGGCTCCCATCCAGTGGTGCTCAGAGTTTATTCTTGGCTGTGTATTCAGGGGTCACTCCTGGTAGTGCTCTGGCGACCATATATGATACCACAGGTATATGAACCAGAGTTGGCCACATGCAACACAGGTGCCTTACCTGCTGTACTATCTCTTTGGACCTATAAATAAATTTTAAACAACATGTATCTTACTGAAAACTCTTTATGTCCTTAGCTTCTTTGGCAACTGGAGAATGAGAAGGAATCTCACATAAAAACTTGTCATATGTTTTTTCCTGCAGTGGAAGAGTCAAAGAATGTGTGGGTCTCAGCCCCAAACTTAATCACACTTTGTCAGGACAAAGGCAACATTTAATTTTTTTAAAAAAAAAGAAGAAGAAGAAACTTACATTGAAATGATCTAACCCAGTAGAATTAATAAGTGTAGACAATCTCTGTTCTCTTAGACAACCTCTGTTCTCTGAAACATAGAAATGCAAAGGCAGGGGAATTCCGCCATGTGCGGAATGGGTTGGTGGAAAGCAGCCATGGTGGGTCAAGTACATTTAAAGTTGCTGCCAAAATAAAATTAGAATTTGATAGCCTTGACCTAAAGCATTTGAAAAGAATCAAAAGTAATAAAGTTAATTAGGTGGCTAATGGCACAGATGAATAGCTATTTATAGTTAATGCCAAAAAAAGTAAATGCATTGCCATCTAGGAAATAATTGATATTAACTCATAAACTACCAAGACAGTTTAGATCTACAGTCTGATTCAAGTGGGTATGAAAAAATCATAAATTTCCCTACAGTGCCTATTATAATATCAACCCTTGTGAATTGCTTTAAAACTTGTACATAGGAGCTGGAGCCATAGTACAGCAAGTAGGACACTTGCCTTGCATGCAGCCAACCCAGGTTTTATTCCTGGCATCACGTATGAAAACACTGCCAGGAATAATTCTTGAGTGCAGAGCCAGAAGTTACCCTGAGCATCTCCGGTTGTGGCTCCAAAACCAAGAAAAAAAAATTTAATTTAAAAAGTAAAAACATAAATAAAAGAAAGCTTGAGCACTGTTTTCCATTAAATTTACTTTTACCTTCTTATTTTATAATTCATGTACAGTTTTGTGTTTCCGAACTTTCAGCATTTCACTGGAACTTTTATAAAAGACTGAGCTGTAAGGGAAGCCTTGGGCCAGTTTCATGCACAAGTGAAATGTCATTCAAAATTTGGAGCAAGTCACAAAAATTAATGTAGAAAAGCATAAGAAGTTCACTGATGTGGCATTACATTCCACATTGCAACTAATCTTTTAAAAACTTCCACTGTTGAATATTTTGTGTGTGATCAAAAAAAGGAATAGCATAATTATTTGAAAATTTATTATAGTACTCCTCTCTATTCTAATTATTATATCTGTGTGCAGGTGTATTTTCTCCCCAAACTTCAATCAAAGCATCAGTACATTTGTTTTATTAAAATAGTGATTTCTCACCAGCAAGTCAGCTCAAAAGGCTGGAGTAACACACTTTTCACTCATGAGTCCCAGGCTGAGAACAACCCAAAAGACCCTCAATTGGGTGAAGAAGCCGCCCAAGAAGTATATGAGATATACATATACTCTAGGTTTTTAAAGGAAAATCATGAGCCTTTCCTTTTTCGAGGGGTCTCCCCAACAGTGCTCAGGGACCAGGAACCACTCTTCATAATTTTTAAGATGACTATATGAGCCAGTGGTTTCATGATCAGATCCAGCAGTGCTGGGGGTGACTCATACCCTTCATCAGTGCTCAGGAACCACACACATGATCAAACTTAGCTCCTAATGCACGGAAGCATGTGCTCAGGCCTTTAAGCTACCTCTCCAATCCAAGAATAGAACATTCCTATTTGAAAAAAAAAATGGAGGAGAATGAGAAGGGCAGGATTGGGGCCTCACTCAGGGTACTCAGGTGGCTAATTCACTTGATCACTTGACATCCCATTACTCATCGATTTGTTCAAGCAGGTGCCAGTAACATCTCCATTCGTCCCTGTTACATGCTAGTTAGCCCAATGGTGTCTGCTCATTCTAGGAACACGAAGAGCCTTAAACCGAAAGTTCAGGGTCTTGATGAAGATGTTTGACTATCTCGTAGGTGGGCGGCCACACGATCTTTTGACATCCAGTGGAATCCGGTCAGTAATGGCTCTAGTCCAGTGGTCGTCTCCAAATCTCATTGCGTGTCCAGCCCATCTGATTTTTGACACCTTGGCAAATGAGACAGCATCCCTGATTCTTGATCTTCAACAGAGGTCAGAACTCCAGATTCTTCCTCTCATTTTAGTGAAGCATGATACTCCAGGCATAGCTCTTTCTATTCCTCTTTGGGAGACCCAAATAGCGTTCTCATCCTGTTTTCATAGGCCCAGGTCTCTGAGGTGTATGTTAATGCAGGAAGAACAGTGGAATCAAAGAGATGTGCCCGGAGCCAGATGTTCTTCGTCCTCTTAGCTATTTCTTCAATGCTCTTGAAGACATTCCAAGCCGCTCTTTTCCTCCTGTGCAACTCAGGTGCCAGGTCATTCGTCATGTTGATTTCTCAACCTAGGTATACATAACTTTTGCATTCGGATATGGTCGTTCCATTGAGAGCTAATGGAACGTCAGGAATGAGACTGTTTCTCATACACATTGTCTTCATGAGATTCAGCGGCAGTCCGACCTTTCCACACTCACTGTCAAAGGGTTGGCCAACATTTGGGCCACTCGGCCAATGTTTGGTGTCATTAGAATGATGTCATCAGGGAAGCAGAGGTGGTGTAATCTATCTTCACTCCCATTCCTTCCCATTCCAGTCACCACATGACATTCTCGAGGGTGGCACTGAAGAGTTTCGGTGAAATAGTATCACCCTGCGAAACCCCTCTCTTGACATGGATGAACACTTCCTTGTAGAATGGTGAGATCCTGGTAGTGAATCTGTAATACAGCTCACAGAGGATCCTGATGTATTGAGTCTGAACATCCTGTTTGGCTAGGGCCTCGACAACCACTTCAGTCTCAACAGAATCAAACGCCTTCTTTAAATCAATGAACATTAGACAGAGCAGTATCTTGAACTCCCGAGAAACCTCAATGAGCTTGGTTTTCATGTGAATATGGTCGATGGTGCTGAATCCTTTGCAGAACCCAGCTTGCTCACATGGTTGTCCTTCATCTAATGTTCTGCCAATCCTATTCAGGATGACTCAAGTGAACAGCTTGTAGATGACAGACAACAGGCAGATCAGGTGATAGTTGCCAATGTCATGGATGTCTCCCTTCCTGTACAGTAGTACAGTCCTGCTGGTTTTCCATTGGGATGGAACCTTGAATTCTGACAGGTAGTGTGTGAAGAGCCAAGCCAGTGTATTGATGAGTACTGA